TTTCACCTAACATGCAGGGATGCCCTGACCCTTAACTTGTAGGTTTAAAATCTTAACAAATGGGGCTGGGATGTGGCTCAAGCGGTAGCGCGCTCGCCTAGCATGCGTGCGGCCCGGGTTCGATCCTCAGCAGCACAAAATACCAACAAAGATGTTGTGTCCGCCGAGAACTAAAAAATAAATATTTAAAAAAAAAAAAAAAAAGCTTCATGTCACAGGTATGACCAACTCAATTAATGGCCACTGGTGCCTGACTCAGAGGCTGAGGAGTGGGCTGATAGTTCTAACCCCCTAATCACGTGGTTGGTTTCTCTGGTCAGTGCCTACCATACTACTCCAAAAATTTCAAGGGTTTTAAGATCTATATGCCAGGAACCAGAGACAAAGACAAGTGTATAATTTGTATTATACCATAATACTTTAAATCCCCCCCAAACTGAAGTTTTTAGGGGCTATAGCTCAGAGGTAGAGTGCTTGTTTGGAAAGTGTAATAAGGCCCTGGGTTCTAAAACACCAGCACTACAAAAAACAAAATACAACAAAAAACCTACCTGACTTAATAAAAAACAAACACAGAGCATCCTTCATATGCTGAACTCCCTCAATGCCTACCAGTATTCCTATGTATCATGAGGTTGGTCTAATTTTACAAAGCACATAACATGCAGAAAATTAATATTCCAAAGGAAAACATAGTGAGATATGATAATCCCTCAGGAGAAAAAGCTTGGAAAGCAAGATCCAAGTTCAAACAAAAATACCATGCTTAAAAGAAAAAAAGAAAGCCTAATGTGTAGGATATTAGATGATTTTCTCTTAAAAAAAATCAATTTTTTTCTGAGTGAGGCGTTCTGGGCAAAAAGTAATGGAAAATACATTAATTTAACCAGAAAATTTTAGTTTAATATGCTTCAATGACCACCATTATTTTTAATTCTATTGGGTGTTCTCACTGTCATCCTCCTTGTTTGTGAAACTGACCAGATTGTTTTGGTCCTGCTAAGACTTCTTTCTAAATGGCCAGGTTATGACAACAAAGGGAATCATAATCTTCTTGAGACATTTTATAGAACTCTTCAAGTACCTCCAGGGCCAGTAAGTAGACTTCTTTCAAAGAACAGGGCTAAATGATTTTCAATGGACTCTTAACAGTGTTGGAAAAAGTATCTATGGTCTCTTCTCAAATCTAGTTACATAACTGAGCAATGTGTTGAGCTACCACGCAGCCTCTCTTTAACTTTGGCTTTCTCATCTGAAACTCTTAGAGCCAAAAGTGTTTTGGCATATTCTTTGCATTTTAGAAAAACAACATGGTGTGCAAGCATTACACTTCTGCAGTACCCCTGTGAGGCTGAGCAGGACCATGGAATCAAGCATTAATACTGGGGCTGGGGATGTGGCTCAAGCCGTAGCAGCTCGCCTGGCATGCATGCGGCCCGGGTTCGATCCTCAGCACCACATACCAACAAAGATGTTGTGTCCACCAAGAACTTAAAAATAAATATTAAAAATTCTCTCTCTCTCTCTCTCCTCTCTCACTCTCTCTTAAAAAAAAAAAAAAGCATTAATACTTCCGCATCAAAAAGTACAAAGACTGTGAGCAACCTTGGATCAGTTAAAATCAAGACCTGCTGCCAATGAACTTGCTGCAAACTTAAGTGAAAAATCTAGGTTCGGGGCTGGGGGTGTGGCTCAAGCAGTAGCACGCTTGCCTGGCATGCACAGGGCGCTGGGTTCAATCCTCAGCACCACATAAAAATAAAATAAAGATGTTGTGTCCACCGAAAACTAATAAATATTTTTTAAAAATTCTCTCTTTAAAAAAAAAATCTAGGTTCACAGGTCTTTTGGGTTCAGAATTGATAATGAGGGTTTGTGAATCTATTAGTGTAGATTGAGAGGATTAAATGAGGTTAAGTGCCCACGCAGCACAGTGTCTATGAAAATCTGTGTGTGTTCTTTATTGCCTCAAACCCCACCAGTTTCTTTTGATCCCTTGAAAAATCAACCTCAAATTCTCATAGGGGAAGCTTTTTCAGAACTGTAGGACTGGGTCCTTAATTCTTTTTTTTATTATTAAATATTTATTTTTTAGTTGTAGTTGGACACAATACGGTTATTTATTTATTTTTATGTGGTGCTGAGGATTGAACCCAGGACCTCGTATTTGGTAGATGAGCACTCTACTGTCGAGCCACAACACCAGCCCCTGGGTCCTTAATTCTACTCTCTTGTTAGCAACATCATTGGAGGTTCCTGTCATTGATAGGATATGTATGCAATCCCTGAGAAAAACTGCAGTGGGAAAAATGTTCAGAATTACAGGAATATATATGTTCACAGGCATATTTTATATGTGTGTATATCAATTATATACATACAAAGCTGTAGAAATCCTGTAAGCTACTTTATATGGAGTATAAAGCCTCACATATTATTTGCCTGGATTCACAATCTTTAAAAAGGTTAATGTATAATCAGACAATAATTTATTAAATTACAATAGGAGCTAATCCTACCAATGACTGGAACACATAAATGGCATGTGAAAAGCCAATTCATGAACTGAAGTTTCTTAGTGGGCACAGGATCAGAGTGCCTGATTGAAGGCAGTGGTACATAGCTAAGAACCAGGTTTGAGTCAGATCTGGAAATGAAGCCCAGCTTTGCCATTTATACATGGTTAACTTGATTTTTCTGAGGTTTCCTTATCACTACCTCATAAGGCTATAAGATTAAATATATATTTGGAGGGACCATGATGTGTCTGTCACACCACAATATGCCTCTTTGGTATAAGAACTATTGGGCTGAAGGCAATTAAGAAGATGATGCAGGAAAGTTCTCTGCCCTTCCTGTATCTGCCTAAAAGCAGGACATAGATTTATACAAAGGGTATCCCCACCTTCCCTCCCTACCAGGCAGAACAAAGGTTAACCACTAACAACTTTAGACTCTCATGGGCCAGATCAGCACCAGAGGAGTCTACATTAACAAGCTTTGTCAGCCTTTGTCCATTATTTATTTGCCTTCCCATAAACTGCTGCCCTTGGAGTCTTTTTCATCCAGTTGCCTCTCTAAAAATTTATTGTTCTTTGTTAATATGCTAAATAAGATATATATATGTGTGTGTGTGTGTTAGTAACTCTGTTGTTTTTCTTTTGTTAATCCGTCTTTTGTTGCAGGGGTCTGTTCCAACAAAGAACTCAGGAGTCCAGGAAAGATTATTTTTCCTCCTCCAAATATACTACTATATGAATGTACATAAAGATTAATATTTGTAGAGTCCAGCATGGTTTCTGGCATATGGTAAAATTGCTCAATAAGAGGCAGCTAGCCAGTGTCATCTTTCTTTAAAGTTTTCACACTTTACATATGCTAAGATTCACCAGGAAGATTTAATTACGTGCACAGACATGGTGATGGGGATGGATCCCAGGACCTCACATATGCTCAGCAAGCACTCTACCACTGAGTTACATCGCTGGCCCCAAACTTTGATTTGTAACCTTAATACTTACCATTTTCCTTCTTAGGACTTAGCTTGCTTGCAGTTATTCACATTAAGATATATTTTAGCTACATCATTACAGCATTTTTAAAAATATGCTTTTAGTTGTAGCTGGACAAATACCTTTATTTATTTTTATGTGGTGCTGAGAATCGAACCCAGCACCTTGTATGTGCTAGGTGAGCACTCTACCACTAAGCCACAATCCCAGTTGTCATTACAGTATTCTTTAAAAAAATTTTTTTATGTGTTCTTATAATCATTAATTCCCTGAAATTACAAACTAGTTACTTTGCCCCTTAACTTTTCTACAGATGGCTAATCTTACCTATTACATTTTAAAACTTTTTATTATAGCTCCAAATACACATAAATGCAGAATTGTTTAATAAATTCCCACATACCCATAATCTAGTTTAACAATTACCAATAGTCTTATAACATCTCTACTCTCTTCAATCTTGGTCATTTTAAAGTAAATCCAAGGCAGTATTATATTTCTGAGAGAGAAAACTTTAGATTTTAGCATAACCACAATTCCCAAGGAGGAAAACCAATTACTTAATGTCTATCAAATTGCAACATTTTCTTAAGCAGTTTTTCCAGCTTCATTTGCTTGATTTAGCTATTGATTCTTTCTTTCACACTCAGGGTGCTTTTATTAAACTTCAAGAGTTGCCCTACAGTAAGGCAAGCTCTTCCCTCCTTTAGGGCCTTTACCCTAACCTCCTCTCTCCCAGGGGACACGCTCCTCTATCAGGGAGTAGTAGTAGTCTGGGTCCACAAATAAAAGAGGGGTTTGTGAACACGGATGGGGAAGACAAGATACTTTGCTAATTCCTAATTGAAATTGAGCATTTCCTGCGAATATGAATGGAGGCAACAAAACACTAATAGGACTGGGGGTATTTGTGACTTCATCACCAACAGAAATCACAGGTATTTTCATATCAC